GACACAGGCTATCCGTGGTCTATAGGTCACTCCAAAATGGCTTAAACATAGAGATTTCAATGGCTGGGGATGGGAATACAAAAGCTGCCTAACCCCATGTGATTGCATACTCCTTCCACAGATTCCATCTGCAAGTTGAAAAGAACTGGAGGGGGCTTTTCTTTGTCTCCCCTAAAGGCTTGAATCATATTGTAGACATTTTCCCTAAAGCAAAAAAAAGCATAACAAAAGTGTCAGAGGATCTTCTGGGCCCACAAAAAGTAACAGAAATGCATGTTGACAGCAGGCAGCCCACAGTTTCCCAATCTTCGCTCTAAACCACTGGCTCTCAATGTTGGGTCCCCAGATGTTCTTGGACTAAAACTCCTAGAAATACCAGTCAGCACAGTTAGTGGTGAAGGCTTCTGGGAGTTCTGGAAGAACATCTGGGGGAACCACTGCTTTAAACCTTAGTTCTCACTAACCATAGCGTACCCATGATTTGACATAATGAATAACCAGTTAGTTGACAACATTTCTAATGTTAGGATGGGGACGTCCTTGCCCTCTGATATCAAAAGAGGGATACAAAGAGGAAGAGGTTTTGCACACAAGCCTGCAGTGCTACTGGTACTCCATTTAATACTAAACCATACCTTGATACAATGTGCAAACACACCTAACATGGCTTATTTGTTGCTATTTAATTTAAGGATGGGTGACGCTGTCAAGCTTGATTTCACAAGTATCCCATTACTAAGCTTGTTTTACCCCATTGTTCATTGCATTGTTGTTGACTTTTTAGTCTGTATAGGAATTCATATGTATTTGTATGTGCTTTTAGCAAAAGATGTGCATTTGTATGCAGTTTTCAAACATATAAATTTGTGTCCACCTCTTCTACTGAATAAGCCACATGCATTTTTTTGCATACATTATTTCACAAATACATATGTCTGTACATATTTTCAAATATATGCATTTTTTTGTTGTGGGTTTTTCAGGCTCTTTGACAAGAACACAGCCAAAGAGCCCGAAAAACTCACAACAACCATTAGATCCCGGCTGTGAAAGCCTTCGCAAATACATATGCATTTTGTTTCCCTTTTTGTTGAATTTCATTATAAACTTCAAGAACGTTCAAATTTCAGTGTCAAACTGTGTTTGGGTTGATCATGAGATTCACAAAGGGTGGATCTCATCCATTCACTTCTTACCAATCGCTGTACTGCTTAAGTTCAGAAATGTGTGTTTCACAAGCAACACTTTGGATGCACCATGCATTTTGTAGGAGCCAAGTTAGGAAAAGGATTCTTGGAAAAATTATGTTGATAAGGAGTTGGATCACATATAATAAGTGCTGCCATGGATACTACTGTTCATATGTCAAAACCTGAAGATGTAAAGTCTGTAGTTCTGCTCCTCAAAACATCCAAATGGCTAGCTCTGTAGGGTCTCGTTGCACCTTAAGAAATTGCCATTTTTATTTGAATGCTTTTGAAGAAATTGAAATCCTATGCTGAGTAAAAATTGTCACTCTTTAAGTTGCCACAAGACTCTTTGTTATCCTAATGACCATTTTCAAGCATGGATCACATCAAAGTCAAAGAGACGTTCACAGATGTGAACGTTAGCAGCCTTTGAACAGGAAAATTCAAAATCATTCAATTAGCAAACACATTAAAAATATGTGTGCTTTCAATGTAAATATATAAAATATTGATGGAGTCTAAAAAGTATATTGAGGGAAAAACCGGTACCAGACTTGTACGGTACAGTACCAGACTTGTAGTGGTTTATTAAATATAAATATCACAATCCTGTTGCTTAGGTTCATCTGACTTGTACCCAGTCTGCCATAATTAGATATGTTATTAATTACTTTGCAAGGAATGAGAAATCAGAAAAATAATAGACTCAGAGTTATCATCACATTAATTTTAAAAGATTACAATTACAAGTGACCAGTACCACACAGATTCTGCCTCCCCTCTCCCGTAATCAACATTTACAACATTTAAATGCCAACTTATTAAAATGTGTTTGCTTTTATATATTGGCAACCTGATTTATATTTCACAGACGTCATTTGTATCCTGTAAATACAATTTAGGTTTTAACAACCAAACGTCAGCTGAGAAAGCGGAATACACTTCTCTCTTGAATTGCACAGATTCAAGCAGCGTGTTTTCCCCACCCAAGAAATAAATAAATATGCAATAATTTAATTTTATTTTTATTTTCTCCATCTTGCATTACTATCAATGTGTTGTTAACTGCTAATTTATTTCTATTGTTTTACTTTGTGTTCTGTGAGCCGCCCAGAGTAGACTATGTCTAGATGGGCGGCATACAAGTTCAAGAAATGAAATGAAATGAAATAAATAAATAAATACTGTGCCCCTGACCACCCAAATCCCATGAGTTCAACAGTGAAGGCATCAAAGTGATATATTTATCCATAAACACAACATCTCTAATTCAACCTCTAGATCAGGGAGTTATAAAGAACTTTAAGTCTCATTGCACATGGTACTGTATGGAAAGGACTGTCAATGTTATGGAAGAGAACCTTGCTTCTCTCCTTCTCTGTCACCTCTCTCTCTCTCTCTTTCACTCTGTGTGTGTGTGTACGTGTATGTCTGTGTGAATCAACTATTTATACTTTGTAGTTATGTTTTTTGGGGAATAAGGTGTGTGAATCAACTATTTATGCTTTGTAGTCATGTTTTTTGGGGAATAAGAGTTATACACAGATTTTAAACCACACGGGAGTCCAGTGCCTCTAACTCCAGCGTTCTTGAAGAGAAAAGTGTATAGTTGTCAGTAGTGGAAATTTCTAAAATCCAAATTTTATAACATTCTGAATTCGTGGTATGCTTCAAGTACAGTTCTTGTCATCTGCTACTGCTGACACACCAAAGATTTTATCCAGTAAGGGAATATAAAGCAGACTAGTACAAAAAAGCAGACAAGGAATATAGCAGTAGGGCATGGGGGCAGGTATAACAATGTACTATTTGCTTCAAAGCTGAATTTTTCATCATTTGCTTTCCCTCCCTGATCTGACCTATTCACTACCTTTGGTACTTCCAGTCAGGATTTACAGTGGAATCACCATTTAAAAAAGAACAAGCCAATCAAAAAGCAGGTAGAGTAGACCCTAGAGGTAAACTGGTCTGAGACTACCAGCTGTGACATTTCCCTATTATTCAAGGCAACCAGTATAGTTTCATGCTGTCTAGACATAAGATACCTTCTCATATATAGACAGCATGCAGTGGAATCAGTGTGACTGCTTTACTGATAGTACAGCTTTGATTTTCAGCTTTTATTATCTAGGTTTTTTAAAAAAATACAGAATAGTAAATATCTTGTTAGTATAAGCATGAGGCTGAAACTATAGAAACAAGATACGTACTTTTATGAGAGTTGTCTGTGAGATGGAACTAGCATATTTCCCAGGAGTTGACACCCTGGCATTCCATGAATATCTCTACCTTAGGAAATCCTACAATTTTTACTCAATCCAAGACCTGATCTGTATACATTTATTTATTTATTTATTTATTGTAAACATAGTTATGTTATTCCATTGGAACAAAAACAACAGAACGTTGCTCTACCTTTCAAAATATACAGAAATTTGTGGCATAGATTTCTGTGGGTCATAGCCTACTTGGTCAAATGTATCTAAATCGGGAAATGAGCATACAATGAACACAGAAAGAACTGATACTGTATTTGGATTTACTTTTAAACAAACAAGCAAGCAAGCAAAGAATAGAATGAGTCCAAATAGCCAAGCAGTGCAACAGGTGGCAACAGTGTTCCTGTACCAGCAGCACTGCCATACTGGAGTAGCTTTAGGGCCTTAAGAGCTTGGCAGGGTACACCAGTGTTCACACTTACCCTCCTGCATGAATGAGTCCAAATAGCCAAGCAGTGCAACGGATGGCAACAGTGTTCCTGTACCAGGAGCACTGCCATACTGGAGTAGCTCTAGGGCCTTAAGAGCTTAGCAGGGTACACCAGTGTTAACACTTACCCTCCTGCATATCCATCCATCCATCCATCCATCCATCCATCTATCCATCTATCCATCTATCTATCTATCTATCTATCTATCTATCTATCTATCTATCTATCTATCTATCTATCTATCTGTCTGTCTGTCTGTCTGTCTGTCTGTCTGTCTGTCTGTCTGTCTGTCTAATTGCCCTTGTCTCATGACTGGAATTCACATTGATTTCTGATGCAGTTTAAAAAAAACACACAGGTCTGCCAGAGTAAAAGGGGTCTTTGTTTGCCAAAAGATGGAGAACAAGGAGGGGGCCACCATAGGCACCCTCGCAGAGAGTTCCAAAGAGTGGCTACAGAGACAGCCCAATCAATCATTCCCTTAAACAACCTCATTTCTGCAGATGCTGGCTCTGCTTTTGGGTGGGAGCTGCTTTCCATTTCCATTTCCAAGCGCAGTGTTCTGTATCCCATCGACAAGCATAACCATCTGAGGTAAAGATGGCCATTGTGGTTGCAGATGGTGGTGTCAGGTAAGGAAGCCATGGCAAGAGCAAAACCAGGTAGAAAGTCCTGATCAACAGTGGTGTGGCATTGCAGTGAGGCTTATTAAAGCCTGATGCCAGCCTTATAACCATGTCAGAATGCTACACGAAACAAAAATGAATAAAAATTAATAATGAATGTGATGCATGGCTAACTTGTGATGAGTAGTCACTAATGATGCATGGTGGCTCTTAAGCATCTATAGTGTCATTAAACATCTCAGAGAGTTGATTACTTTCATTGGTAAAATGGCAATTCTTGGACTGTACGTAGTAGACACTGTCCTAAACATATGTATTACAGAATGAGTTAACTTAACGATTTCACCTCCAAAGTTCAAGGATTAACCAAAACTTTACTAGAAAGAAATACTACTAGTCTTTGGATTAAAACAATGAACAGCTGATGAAACAATGGCTGAAATCCAGCAGAAAGTTGCAGTTAGAACAGGCCTTTTGAAACAGTGGGGATTGGTGCGTCAACGCCTCTGTAAGTTCTATTGATCCAGTGAGCCTACTCTAGTTGTGACTACTGGATTTCAGCCAAAACAGTGTAGGAGTTATTTCCCTAAACATCAATGAGGCAACTCAATCAACACTTTTGGGGGAAAAAAAACATTTTTCAAATTACTTGCTACAAACTTTAGGGGAAGTGCTCATTCTGTTCAGAGCAAAGAAGGAAAAGGTTTGCCATGTTTGTTTTCCAAAGACTGCAATCCTATATAGATAACAATGAGTGATTGAATTTAAGGGGACACAGATTCATCTAGACAGGCAGAGTATTGTACTGTAAATCTGTTATTTGTTACATTGAGCTACTTTCAATATACCAGAAAAGATATACAATATTTTTAAAACATTTTTTAAATCCTGAAGAATTTACAATACATTGTGCTAAACATACTGTTTGAAATGTTTAGGAATCAATACGAACCTGCTGTCAAGTGGGCGGTGTGAACAAGAATTCTAACCCCAGGCTTTAGGTTAAACTGGACAATATTTTGGTTTAATTTCTGTGCCAACAGTTCTGAAATCTGCAATGAGGAAATAGAGATGACTGCATTATACGATCATACAGAAACTTTCACGGAGGGCAAGAACAATATATAGTTCTAGAAAGATGCACCTCAAAATATTTTCACAACCACAAATACAGGGCATAGGAATATCATACATGCTAAGTCCTCAGTAAATGTTTGATCATTGTCAAAGTTTTCTTATAATGGAATTCCAATTCATCAAGCAGCAGTGTATTCAAATGCACTTCGTATGATCAAAATTACTTCCATACAGGCTGATGTACATAGATACTGTACTTTATAAGTGGGGTTCTTTTCCCCACCAGTCTAATCTATCTGTTGGTTAACAAGATTGCCATGACCACTTGAAGGAAAGTGTTAGTCTCAAATGAGGGCCTACAGAAGGCTTTGGTTCCCTCCATGCATGCATAGATGTCACCCAATAAGTTTTACATGGTATCAGGCCAATTATATGGAGACACCAATATTATACAGTAGAAAATAGATGAGACTAACAGGAATAACAAGGCAGGCTCATAAGTCTTTTAAGCTGCAGCAGACACACAACGCTTTCATCACACGCTTAACAGGCATCACAGACTTAACAAGCAGGATATTCTTTGCTTTTTAAAGAAGCAGCAATTTCTACAGGAAAGCCTTCGCGAATACATTCTACAAGAAAATTACTCCATACACAACACATGACACAAAAACATATGTAATCATAAAAAAATAGAATCTAACTTTTTGCTAGGTCAAAGATCTATACAAAATCTAATTTTCATGAATGGGCTCACCACATGATGTAATCGCCTAATGTAATTTGTTTTAAATAACCCTTCCTACATTTTCAAAGGTTAATGGGAAGTTATCAAGTTAAATAAAAAGATATCGTTTGAAAAGCCATTTCCGATCTTTCTAATTTTGTTGAATTTGTTCAACTCTGTAATTCTGCTCAGGTGGGACAGAGGCTTTGACTCTCATTTTTCACTGTGAGAGATTTATTCCTAGCTTTTTAATTTTCTGCATTGAATTTAAAAAAAGATTTTTGGCTCTTGCATTTCATATTGGCCACCGTTTACTTGGAACACTTTCCCTGTCTTGGAGCTAATTAGGAAATCAGGTTGTGTGTTGAACACTGAAGTAGTTTGAATAACAGCACATTTCTTGCACATACTGGACTCCTTAAACATATTTTGCATTACTACACTATTTCCAGTCTATTTTTGCTTATTCAAATCCAGTGATTGCATTTACTCCCATTTTTTTATTAATTATACTTCTCCAAATTGGCTTCACTGCCATATCAATGACAAGAAATCGCATGCGACTTTGGGTCATTACAGTTTCTTTCAGGGAAGAATGCAGTTCAAGTAGGTGCCTGAATCCCCGGAGCATGGTGCCTGGTGGTTTAATATCTCCACAATGAGAAATGTCACATGTATGCAAAAGGTTAAGTACAGATAAGGGACAGATTATTATCAGGACTGAACAAGGGAGGAATCTTCTAGTTTGACTCAGAGTCATTTGTGTTAATGATATAGTCCTGCAGGTGGCAGAGCATGGGAGCAGCAAATTTAGCAGGGCCTCTGACACTTGAGGCAGCTTTCACTGCTTGGCTGAACTCTTCCCTGGGCATTACGAAGGGTGTCACCTGTAATACGGGACAGACAAGTTTTTCTGCCTACTTTACAGGCCTGCCTTTGAAGACCCTCAGAGGCAAGCACTGAGGAAGCAGTTGACTTTGTTAATTTTGAAAGTCACTACAGGAGCATCCTTGTTTGGAAGTGGTTGGCTGAATCCCCGGGTGTACCGCCCACCCTGCTGCGTACCAACAGTCTCCCTACCTGAGCTGACGGAGGCAGTCTCGGACCTGGTGTTGAGGACTCCCAGGCTGCTGGT